AAGATGGAAACTCTTGTATTAATATACACATACATACGAATTTCACTTGCAAAATTTTATATGAAAACAGCGAGGATCCTTCAAAAAAATTACAACAAATAAATTTTAAATAATCGAACAACATTATTACTCCGGCGTCAGCGACGGAGTTGAAAATTCGCCCTGGTTTTGTTTTGTTGTTTTTTTTTTTATTTTTTTTTATTTTTCGTCGTCGCAAGTCTGAATGGCGCGAAACATTGCAGTATTTAAAATGTGTATCTAACCGTATTTATCTACGTCCCAGTCTTATCTGCTAAGAGTTGTGGTGCACAGCTTTGGCTAATTTTCCGATGCGCGATTCGATTTCGCTCGCATGATACAGCAATTCCTCCAAGAGCAACAAATAAACCGTTCTTTTCACGCTTTTCGACTAAGTTTAGATTGAATTGGGGTAAGAATATATTTAATACATGTAGATTTTGGTCCTATTTTAATAATATCGCTGCTATTTCGCCGTTTGACAAGATGATGTGGTCGTGTATGGGTGCGTTGAACGTCGTAGTTTGCACAGGATTGAACATTAATTTTAATATAACTATATAAGCGCGAATTCCAAAGGCAAAGTGTAAAACAAAGCGAATATATCATGCACTTTATTTACATTTTTGAACAATTGAACTTCTATACTTTTTAAAGTACAATGTCCTTTTGAATTTCGCGATCGAACATTTAGGTTCGCAAGGCATCTAAATGCGAATATGAACTGTATTGTTTATGTTCAGAAGCTCTATATTGAAGACTGGCACGTGCGCCGGAGTTAACGCCAGAACAGGCGTCTTGTTCCATAAAAAATGTTTTAAAAAACAAATAAAAATGTACGAAAAATTAACAAAACCGGTTTGCTTTTCTGCCAAAAAATATCGTGGGATGTCGCGGGGAAAAAATGCGGTTTTGGGAACGAATCTGATTGGTCGAAAAGAAAACAAATGGGTGTGCTTGTCGAGAATCGAATTGACGTTTCCCTGAAATGTGTTTTATTGAAATTAATTATTTGTATTTAAATTTGAAATTATTCATTTGTATTTTCAGTCGATTTAAAATTTCAGCATTTCTATTTTTTCAAAAAAAAATTATAGCTGGAAACTTTGACTTGTTCGTGCTTAATGCTTTAAACTTCACCCCCATTCACAGCGCAACTCGACTAAGTTTTATTATTTATTGGGATTCCTATCTTTCAGCGCAGCTTTTATAATATAGCCGAATTCATATTAGGGAGGGAAACTCTCTCGTCCGAATTGACCCGTCTAACTTTCCCATCATCAGATCTTCAGATCAGTGATTATGACGCTGAGACGATACATTACGGCTGTATATGAGTTCACTAATTACTCGGGTCTTCGCAACGAATCGAAATTGTCCCAAAATCGTTTCTCTCGCGGTTGTTACGACCACACACGACAACATCAGATTACGTCATACAACTGTAATTTTCACACCAAAAATTAGAAGTTACAAGCTCAAACCCTAGGCAGCCCAGAAATCTGCTTACTTATAATCTGTTGAAATCTGTTTTTTATATTGATATATAATACAGTAATTAGTACAGACAGCAGAAGCTGATCGCGCGCGTAACAATGTAGTCCATGACTGAGTATAAACAGATTTTTGGGCTGCCTATGCTGAAACGAGATAACCGTGTAGCCGTAGCCGGTAGCCCGATTGAACGCCTGAGCAGGCGTATTGTTATGATGTAAGCAGGAGAACACAGTTAAAAAATATAACTGCATTGCAAGTTGCAAGAAAAATTGTAATGTGTAACATGGCCTTAATACTGAGCCGACTACATTTAAAGCAGTCAGCATCGCGGGACAAAAACTATTTCTAAAATTCATTTTTATTGCAATATTGGTAAAATAATGCATCAAATATCTATCGCTTCTAATTACAGTTGCCATTTCTTACGAGTTCCTCCTGGATTTTTCTCGTCTCTGATGGACCTCTCACAGTACGTCCTAAATTTCTAAATACATGAAAAATCATAATAACTGGAACTTTGCATAGCGGGACAAAATCGTCAGGCAGGCTACGCCATCACTGAAAATTATCCGTTGCTTGGTGTAACATCATCGTAACCTTAGCATTCTTTAAATTAGGGATTCTCTTTAATAATTGTAAAACATTTAAACAACATGACGTGTCAAGAGAGCATAATCTTGTGAACAACGATAACAAAGGCTATATTAACTTCACCTCAATCGCTCCAAGGAGTGGGCTTTTTTTGCCTTCCAAATAACTTCGGTCCACCAGTTTCTCTGTCTTGAAGCATGATGAAACTAAACTAGAATGCTGTGATATTCGTATCCAGTATAATCCAGTTTTTGCGGCATCATTGCGTATTGAACATTATAAAACTGAAATTTATAATAAAATTGAAATTTGACCTCGTGAGGAAGCCATCTTGAAATCGTACGATTTCGCAGGAGACGACGTCACCAAAACGTCACACATTTACCTGAGTACTTCATGTTGTATCGACAAAATGGCGATAACGGAAAGATCACGGGATAAGCATGCGCTCCTGAGTTAGGACGTTCTTAAACCTGCTGTTAGAAAATGCGGTTATTAGTATGAGGTAGGTTAATTAATTCCAGCCTATGGTTCCAGGGAGTATCCAATTTTTATTCTAGTATATATAGGTCAGTGGATCAAACAACACTGTCTTTGAGAATAGTCCTCAAAACATGGGATTTAACGGCTGAGATGAAAAGTTAAGGGATGGGATGCCAATGGACGAAAAGTTAAAGTTGCGAAACGCATTCGCGTAATTTGGGCGGTATAAATTTGCAATAACGAGCATGGCCTTAAAAAACAAAAGACAAAACTTCTCTATCTTGAACTGCCGTAAGAAAAGTGATAAATGAAAACTTATAAATAATGTGCTGTAATTATTCATTTTTGGGAATTCTTCTTATTAATTTTTATATTTGTTTTCAAATCAAATACTGATTCGAAACAAGAAGCACTGTGCTCATCAGTAGATGAATGCATGACTAGATTGACATCTTCAGTAATGCATAAACCAAACGACAACTCGGGAGATTTTCCACAAATTTGTTAGTAATAAAGATCTTTGAACAAATTCTTTGACATCTGCCTTCCATGACCTCCAGAAGATATGTGGGAAAACGACATTTAAAGGGCACCAAATCCCACGCCGCCTCATTAAAGGAGATTTTTGCCATCCAAATTACTTTTTGGCGTAACTTCAACAAATGGCAAAGTTTCGATTCCGCAATTTCTGCTCTTCTAAAGACTTTCATTCTCTTGCTATGAAGTTGTGTACAATTTACTAACTTTCTTTTTCTTTGGTGTTTGACGAATGCATGCAAAACTTTGCTTCCCTCCCGAAAGTGATGTAGTAAAATTGAATGCGTTTGATATTTATTCATTGCTCTTGTAAATCCGTTTCTACCGATTTCTTCATCATGTTTCGATCCGAAAGATCAGAAGGAAAAACAAAAATCAAGATGCTGTGAAATTTATAATGTTGTTGCAGCAATAGATACCCATTCAAAAACTTAACAAAATTTATAAACATGTGCATGACTCGTGCTATCAACAATTCTCAAAATGGCAGATGCTTATTCGTGTATACTGAACTTTGAAACGTCATCTTCGAAAGACAGACATAAAACATGGGATTGTTTTCTTTATCGTGTTAAATTTATTAAATACGTCATTACTAACACAAGGTACTCAATTTGTCTTTTTCCCAGCTATATTTTCAGCTTGAAATGCACATACCGCCATCTTTTTTGTATAATTGTTGATTTAATTATAATTTATTACCAGTGCATGTTGGATTACAGATTATTAAGTGATTATTCAGATACAATAATACTACACTACTTCTACGCATGCTCGTATATCTGACTGTAATATAGTTATTGTATTTGATGCCACTACATTGCTAATGACTAACTATATATATACATATATACTTATCTCTTATTAACTTCACAAACTGTTCATTCAGTGATCATCTACTAAGCATATAATTATTCAACTGCTTCGTAAGATTCACCAAGTCCAGGGCTACAATAAAATATTAAGAATGCATGTTGATTTCGATATTCTATTTCTATATAAAACTATGAGAAACGTATGTAGCCAATAAGGTTTTGCAAGTTTAATTGACTAATTTGTTATTAAACTATTCTGAAAGCCAAATGTAAAGCAATGAATGTATTTATACGTTTACTAACTGTCAAAAGTTTCAAGTTTTGGCCTCTGAAGAAGTCTGGGGCTGCAGGGACAGAATTACAGAAAAGTGCGCAGTCTTTTTACCAAAGCAATTACACGAGGAGGAAGCCTGATCGTATTGGTAGGTACAAACGATTTGCAGATACACAAGAGGACGTGTTTTTAATATTATCATTGCGACTTTTTTAACATTACTTCACACTTGATTATGGGATGAAATTGTAAAAGTATAATGCTCTATTGCAAAAAAAAGTTCTTCAATGAATGAAGTCGTCCTCGCTTGTCTCTGTAAGCCCTTGACCCTCGCTGTTCCCGTGGTTCTGGCCACACAGTTGGCATATCCCGTACATAAGGCATAAATTACATAATTTTAAACGAAAGCAAGACACAGACTTGGTGTTAACCTCGGGTCGTTGTAACGCCGCACGGCCAATAAAGACAAACGGCCAATAAAGATGTCTGAGATCTGACGTTTGTAGAATACACATTCAAATGTTGGAAATAAATCGTAAACAAACGGTAGGATTTAATGTTACAGACGCGATGATGCACCAGTGGTAAAAAACGCAATAAATGCCATGCAAAGGTGAAAATATTTTGTTTAGGAATATCGCAGTTCCACGCAGTCAAATATACTATCTGCCATATAACCTTGGCTTCGTTTGTCCCCTCAGGTTTCATCCCAATATTTTATAATAAACTGACAATTATATGAAGTATATAAAGTAAATAAGGTTAGTACATACCTCAGTAACAACCATAAAGCTCAATTCGCATACCTATATAACTACGCCAAGACACTGGATGTATACGAATATAACGAGCAGTGATTGGTAGATGCAGGACATTCTTCACAATGGTATCCCAGTCACTATTCCCATCAAATATCTAGACAAAGTTGCAAATTAACACTGATGTATTTTCTTGAAAATCATAAAATCCTATCCAAATCCGTTTAGAAATCCGCTTCCTATGATAGTACTGTACATTCAGTGACAAACAAACAACAGACATACTTTTACATAAACGTGTGCAGTATACGAAAACAACGAGGAATTTCGTTTTGAACTGAAGCCGGTCTTCCACTAGGCGATACTTTTCGATCGAAGGAATTTTTTGCTCGATTTTCTTTTCAATTGTGACCGATCAAAGGCATCCACCGCGGTCGATTTCTCACAATTGAAAAGAAAATCGAGCGGAAAACTTTTTTTGATCGGAAAATTCCGCCTACTGGAAAACCGGCTTAATTAATGAATCGGCAAATTTGTATACTTTTTTTAAATACTTCATGTAAAATGGTAAATAATGTGCTTTTTCACCGAAAATTGTCAATATTTATGCATTGTGATTGGTCTAAAACAAAATTCCTCCTTGTTGTATCAGAATGCTTCATGCATGCCGGGCTCGTCCGGAATATTCTCGTTAGTTTATTGCTTCGGGAGTGCTAACTGGCTGCTAATAGTGTTTAGAAGATTAAGAACAGCTGCAGCTAAAGACAAAAGATCCACCATTACAAAGCGTTCTGTAAATATTTCTTCCATACTTAAATTTTCCCGCGTTACCAAAGCGATGACCCGGGTAAATGTCCCGGTGTTATGAGCCAATTTTATGAGCGATTACCTAGCTGATACTGAAGAGAGTAAATAATTGATTTATTTGTATGAGAAACTTTATGACAGTTTTTGGCATGTGGCATGTCCACCGCTTAAGGTGGCTCGATACAGTTTCTCGAGTTTTTTAGATGCACATTTTAAACAGGGATATCAAGCATTTATTTATCAAATATTTCGCCACACTCAGGTCAAAAAGTTAATTACTTTTGAAGGAAACATATCTAGAGCAGAAATCTATTCAGAAATTGTGCCTGCATGGCGCCCGTTACCATGGCAACAGAGACGTTTCAAAATGCCCCCAAACAGGGTTTAATTGTATTTACATCGGAAACGAGTTCGGTGACCCTCAATTATTAGTATTAAAAGTTTACGCTATAGATGCTTTATCTATAAAAAAGTCTTAAATTTTTTTTAATATGTTAAAATAACGTTTTTGTTAACAGAAAAAAAAATTCCTCATGACAGAATTTTTTGAATACTTTTTAATAGATAAAGCAACAATAGCGTAAACGTTTAATACAAAGGAATTGAGGGTCACCGAACTGGTTTGCGATATAAACACGATTAAACCCTGTTTGGCGGCCATTTTGAAACGTCTCTCTTGCCATGGTAACGAGTGACACGCACAAGTTTTGAATAGATTTCCGCTCAAGATATGTTTCCTGCAAAGTATATTAACTTTTAGCGTTCTAGCGAAGTATTTAGATCATCGATATCCCGGTTTAAAAAGTGCACCAAAAATGTCGAGAAACTGTATCGAGCCACCGCCACCCTTGGAATAACCTACCCCAGACTTTATTAACTGTATTTCTTTATACGGCCTGTAGTGCAATAATTCTAACCTTATCATCACCCTCATCTTTGTAAGTCTCGAATGTTGTTCCATTCAAACTATACTTCACGAAATAAGTCTTCACCCAACGATCGATATAAGAATTTTGATAATAAAAATATCCTCCCTGAGTGGCAATCCCTGAGACAACTTCCTTCTTTCCAAGATCAACCTGTATCCACGGGTTCTTGTCGTTTACTCCTGCTCTCCATCCAGCTCTCCATCCTGCTCTCTTAACTGCTCTCCTTCCTGCTCTCCATTCTCCCCATTCTCCAATGTTGTACAATCGCCCATGCGCTGCTGAGGCCCATTTTTCCAGATAACTCGAAGAAGAAGTCAATTGAAAATCTTTAACTTTCTTCTTATCTTCCACGCCAAGTGTCTTTTCACCAGCTTTGCAAGGAATAGCATTAACTAGAGAGAATTTTAAAAATTTAAACCTGTGCCGTTTGGACGAAACTAGATGAGTCTAAATGTAATTACATGCTTATTCACCTCCTATAAATATACAGAATAAAAGACATAAGACTAGTTGCATATCACACAAGCGCTAGATATACATGACTAGTTTCAAAGAGATTAATAACTATCGTTAAAGAACTAATATAACCACTGTTTGGGCCAAATGAGCCTTGTACAACCACTTGGTTTAGCACTAAACATTTAAAACAAAACACTATTTCTTGCGAAAACAATTAGAATCCAGTACGGGCCAAACAAGTGCAATCCATTGCTCTACCTTTTTTTAGAATATGATATAAAATACAATACAATAAACTATATTTAGACATGGTAAAATCTTCAGTTACAGGGAGTTATAGTATATAAATATAAATCTAGAAGTTACTGCTTTACAAGGTTGCCGTGTGGGAGTCCGGTTTCAGGCTTGAAATACCTATTTATTGCTTTTTTAAAGTGATAGAAAGATTGAAGCTTTCGTACGTTTTCAGGGAGACTATTGCACAATATTACTCCGCTGTAGCAAAAGCTTCGTTTCAGATAATTTGTTCACGGCTTGGGCAAGTTTAATTTCATTTCAGAGTTTCGTACATTATAGTCCAAGCTGCGAAGAGAAAAGAGATCTTGTAGATAAGTGGGCATATTTCAAATTAGTACCTTGAAAACTAAGTTAGCTTTTTGTCTTTTACGTCGTAATGAAAGGTTATCAAAACATAAAGTGTCCAGAAGTATCCCAGCACTGGCATGATAATTAGTCCTCAACTGACCCTTGCAGCCCAGTTCTGGAGTTTTTGTGGTTTACAGTTTAGTTTTTCACCAAGACTGTCCCATGCAGACCGAGGAACAGTAGTCAAAATGAGGTTAAATTAATGCTCGATAAATTTGAATAGCTGTGTCAGTTGTTATAAATGGTCTTACGCGTTTTAAATCACCAATGGCTGACGCAACCTTTTTAGACATTTTATCAATATGCATGGCCCAGCTGAGAGGTTGGTCAATATGTGTTCCTATGGCCTTATAATTAACAGAGGTAACCCTTCTGATCTCATAGTCATTTATTTTAATCGCTAGTTCATCATTTATGGTGGCCATTTTTGCCGAGATCCGATTGTCATCTCAACCCTATCTCGTGATTAAGTTTTGGTGTAAAATCAACGTTTATAGAGAGGTTAAGATCGACTTCCACTACGAGTACCGATACCAATAATCAATCACGCGCTTGCGCAAACGTAACAATCGTCCAAAATGTGACAACACTGGGAGTAGGGAGTACCGTTTTGGGGCTGAGATTGGAAGTGGATAGGTAGGCGAAGTACCGAATTATCCCCGAGCTGGTGCGGAGCACCGTGCGAGGGTACTAATTCCGTCCGGAGATTAGGAATTACACCCGGGACCCGGGAAAACATAGTGGAATCCAAAGTCGCCTAAATTTGGACCATGGACGTTCAATGGTCATGGTACTTGTGCGCACGCGCAAAATTTGAACGAGTGACGACTGGTAATTAGCAACTTGCTGATTGGCTAAGACGAAACGTTCGTGTTTCAGTGAAAAACGTCAGCAATTTAACTGTCATTTTGCAAACCATTTTTTTAAAAAAATGTTTCGAGAACACAATATTAAATGTGCAATCAAATAACAGATAAAACACTGGGAAGAGTTTAAGGTATTATCAGAACTGGAAGAATTAGCGGTGAAAAGGAACAACTGATTTATAATCCTTGAAATGGTAGGAGTCTATTTTATTTCGAGGTTTCTTTCGTGTTTGCTGTACGAATACATTTTATGACCTTGGTACAGTATGTCGTTTATCTCGGTTTTGCGAAGACGTGACCGACTATTTAAGGCTTTACATCATCGTTTTAACTTCAAAAAGAGTTCTTAAAAGTGTACTTTGGAGTTTTAATATAGCAAATATCACTCTAAAGATTTATAGAGTCGACTGCAATCACTGCATGAATTTAATAATCGAAAAACAACATTCGACGTTCACTGCTTGGTTATTTATATTATTTGTGCTGTTTTGATGTTTTGAAGGTTTAGCTATAATGGAGTATTAACTCCCACTTAAGCTGTGAAAGTCCATAACTTAATGAACGGAAAGCAACAGGAAAATGGGTGATTTCACTTCACCTTTACGACTGCGTTTGTTCCCGAAAAATTTGAAACATCAGCTATCGGCTTTACAATTAGGACATTTCATAATATTGAAGGTTAGGTCTGGCTAGCTCAGGAAATATTTTGCTTCGTTTGAAATGGCGAGGGTTTGCTGCATTCATGTATTTCTAGTATTTACTGTATTATTGTCATTTTCTGCAGTAGTTTTTTAATAATATTATTTAGTTTTTAGTTGTGTATTGTTTCTGCTTTGTTTCGTGAGACTTAGGGATTGTGATTAGAGTTTTTGATGTGAATACAGCTGCTATACTCCACCATGTTTATTTACTTCTTACGGAAGTCACAATCTTAACGCTTTAAAATTTCCGCCCTGCCAAACTGTAATACGTTATGTATTTTCGTATCGGTACTGGTAGTGGAAGTAGATCTTAACCTCTCTTATATCACCCAGTTGGCAGTAATCTAAGTTTTCAGCATCCATCGAGCCAATATTTTTTTTAAATTCTAAGAAGAGACTTATACAGGAGAGTCAGAAAGTCTATGATATATTTTCGTAGAAATAAGAATTTTGTCGAGTTAAATTTCTTTGTATTACGTAAAACGAGATGCACATCAGCACAAACATCATGGGGTCCTGACATATAGACTTTTGTTACCCTGCTGTACCGTTCAAAGTTGTAACCGATTTTTTGCAAAACGCAACTATATAATGTAAAAGGAAACGTTGTCCCTACTGATGTGCGCATACCGCTAAATTAATAAGTCTCGTATGATTATACAGCGAGCAGCAGTTGTAGATTTGAATAGCGTGAAAAGACGTGCCCAATAGTCTTGCAACGATAACGCCTCCCACCCACCCGGGGAAGGCAGTCACGAGGTTGCTGTTCGCTTGCGATCCTATACATAAGTAACAGTGTTGACTGCTAATTCGCGCGAGATCTTGACCGTGTCCAGGTCAAGATTCAATTGGTGCATTATCAAATCAACAAGCTACATCAGCAGATGTCCCATAATAGCAGATTACCATGCGCTCTTCATCTCCCTATCGTCTATTCGTCTCACGAACGTCTATTGCTAGTCCAGACACCTCGTTATTAGTCGAAAATTTTCACATTTTTATTTCAGTACATTTTATGAAAACGCAATTAAGAAGAAAATTTTCAAAGTTACAATTACTATTTGCAAACTTCGGCCTGCACTGCTTTTAATCCTACCTCTTTCACAACTATAAAGTTCCACTCTCAATGAAATGGCATTGTTCCATGTCTTTGGGTGTATGCGGATATAACGAGCTGTTACAGCTGGTGATAAGACATTTGTCACAACAGAATCTCTGTCCGTATTTCCATCGAACACCTGAAAGGAAATGTTGAATGGTCGCTGTAATTTCACTATTTCATATTTTACTTGGGTCTCTTCATATTAAATTTTAAAATATTGTAAAATAGCAAAGCCCAGTTGCCTCCGCATGCCTTAGTAAGCAGCGAACAAATGTGGAAGTCCCCCTCTCTGCCCCATGGCTCAGGCATACCTGCCTAAAAGTCTGTATTTTTGACTGAATGACAATATAGAATATTAATTTTTTCGAACGGGATTGACTGTCGCGTTCTTTGTTCACTAATTGGAATCAAATAATTCTAAAATCAACATACCGACCGCGCGGGAACCAACAACTAATGTCACACTTTGTAACACAACTAATGTATAACCAGAGATTCCACCATAAACCTCACCCATCTTGACGCTTCGTGACATTATGTATATAACTTCAGACCAAAATCATTTAAGTATTATGCAGCAATTAGCCATAACTCCGGCAAATCATCACAGCTTTAGTAATTAATTAATGTCACAAATCGTCATACTTATATAGGGAATGATGAAAAAAGATGCAAATTTTTTAGCGAAGACTACAGAGTGTATGAAAAAGAAGACATTTAGAAATTAGCATCAAATGTGGTATAACAACTGCCTTAATAGACAAAACACTTCTCGACGTTTCGACCTGAGGGCCTTCGTATCGAGAGTTAGTATGAAAGGAAGTGTTTTTAAATTTCCTTATAAGGAAATGTTAAAAAAAGAGACAAAACGTTTTTAGCGAAGACTACAGAGTGTATAAAAAAGAAAACCTTTAGAAATTAATTAATTGTTTACTTTAAAGGCTTATCACTATGCTATGCCTTTGGATGTGTAAAATATTGTCAGCTTTGTGCATATATTACATATCTTTGTTAGAAGCCCAAAAGCCTTCCTGCTTCTGGAAATTTGACATAATTTCTAAAAGCAAAATTCTGCACAATAATGCATGACCAAAAAAGAGTTTTTATCGCCCAGACTTATATCAAGATGTAAAGTACAGTTGTGGTACAAAACACGTTTTGAGAAAAGTTTTTAATCGAAATTCACCGGCGAAAAACACAAACTTGAATACTGATGCTGGTGTGAAATTAATGAGCAGGAATAATTCCTGCCATGCATTAGATTTTATTCGATTGTGCATGTTTGCCCCCCCGTTGGTTTGGAAAAATTTTCCAGGCATTTAGATTATAACAATAGTTTAATATCTAACGGTCTTCTTTTTTTATACACCCTGCGTAGAAAAAAGCGCTTGCTGTTTCATTATCTCAGGAAATTAAATTTCGTCAGATTGTGGAAGCACAATGAGTGTTACAATTAGGTCATAGAATGACGACGTGGTTGAGACTGGATCACATTTTATGATCAGAAAAAATATTCATTTCCCCCTGGAAACTGTCTGCTAAAAGATAGTTAAAAGTGGATAGCAATCTGATTGAACAACAGCTTAAGAAATTTCTTAATGGTTTCTGTGTTTGGATAGCCTGATCCAAACACGCGGGAATGTTCCGAGAGTTCAGAAAAGTGCATTGAAACAAAATCCCGACTCTTTGTGCAATAATGCAATAATAGGATTATTATCTATTTTGCTTCCCACCTTCTGAGTTAACGTTGCATTAATTTTGTATGAAGTGAGGTTTTCTTTATCCACACCGTAAGATATCGAATACGTCTTCACCCAAAAACTACCACCAGAACCTTGAGTGGCAATTGCTGTAACAATTTCCTGGTTGCCAAGATCGACTTGGAGCCATTGGTTCTGATCACTCTTTGTGGAATACCAAGAGTCTACACCGTTTAATCTCCCTTTTGATACAGAAAATCCATTTTCATCAGTTGATGATGACATCTGATAATTCTTTATTCTTCCATCCTCTACTCCAAGTGGAACCTCACTGGTGTTGCAAAAACCTTGTTGTAAGAAATGCAAAAAAAGAAAGATAAGTACGTAACATAATACATTTTATTCAGTATAAATGATCACAACTTAAAGTTTTATATCCCTCCATCCTCTACCCCAAATGAAACTTCGGTGGTGTTGGAAGAACCTTCGCCGTAGGAAATGCAAAAAGATAATTAAGATACGTAAATAAAATCTGTAATGTCCTGAGTAACTTGTAATTTCTCTCCGTACGTCCAACTAATAGTATGAAGGGAGAAAAATTTAAATTCTTATTTAAAGTAAAGTCAAAAACAAACGTGTTTCCCAACAGAAATAATAGAATTGCTTCAAATTTTCAAGTGCTGACGTCATATGAAATGAAGGAAATGAGTTTTGTCGAGGATCTGGTTTTTGATTCGTTGATTTTTATGCTCAGATCAGCTGGATATTATCATGAAAGATAAGAATTTCACGCCACCGGACACCGGAGTTAATTTGACATGTCCGTGTTGAAGGTAAACGAGTAACTGGAAACAAATCAGACATGCTTAATGTTGAGTATTATTTACCTGTGTAGCAACCAATAACTTCGATCCTCAAGGATATGTGATTAAACCAAGACACTGGGTGTATGCGAATATAACGCGCATTTATTGCTGGATAGAATAGATTTGTTACGACAGAATTCTTGTCATAATTTGCAGCGAATACCTTTATAAGTTATAAATGATTCATAAAATTGACTTTTTATATTATATTTATGGGCTACTTTTTATTAAGACCAGTGATTAAGACACATGACATTCCGGACAAAAATGGTAACAACCTCGGAGAGTGTTTAAAACTTTAATAATTTAATAATTATGCATGGGATTATTATCTCTTTAGCTGCTCACCTTCTGAGTTGCATTAATTTTGTACGAAGTGAGGTTTTCTTTATCCACACCGTAAGAGATCGAATAAGTCTTCACCCAATAACGATTAGAACCAGAACCTTGAGTGGCAATCGCTGTAAAAAGTTCCTTCTTGCCTATATCGACTTGGAGCCATTGGTTCTGATTGTCATCGTCCGGACGCCAAAAGTCTTCACCGTTTAATCTCCCTTTTGATGCGGAAAATCCATTTTTTTCAGTTGATGATGACATCTGAGAATCCTTTATCCTCCCATCCTTTACTCTAAATGGAACTTCACTGGTGTTGCAGGAACCTTGTCGTGGGAAATGCAAAAAAGCAAGGTACGTACAACATAAAATCTAACAGAATTACTTCTTCAACAATAGCCTTCTGAAGTGCTTACGTCACACAGTTTTCTATCTATACAATTTTGTCCCACTTGTTTCCCAGATTGCATTGCGATTAATTGTTCGAGACCGACAAGACGTAAGCACCTCAAAGGTCTATTGCGTACATTCGTTACGGAGCACTTTTGCTGTGAGAACCGCAAATAAAGTGGTCGATGTCTGTGTTGAAAAGATATGTAATGCGAGGGCCGGTTGTATCAAGCCAATTTAGCTTAAATGGAGGTTAAGTTCAAAATAGAACTGAGCAAGTCTATTAGCTTCTATTGTTTTATTTAACAAGTAAATTAAATGTTTTTAACCTTCATACATAGATAATACAACTAGCTACATATTCTGTGCATGTTATTCAAGTTGACTCATTCCAGAGACTTGTAAAAGTGATATAAGCTAAACGGGCTTGATACAACCGGCCCAATGGTTTTATTCACACTTTGGTATTCATTTTAAACTTACGTGATGTGGACGAGACCATTATTGTTGTCGTTTTCGGTGTTGATGGTTCTGTAAAGAAGATATTCATCTGCATATATATGACATGTATAACTTTTAATTGCACTACATATGACTCCAATATTTCTTCATTATTCATGCCGTACAGTTTTAAGAAGAAACCTTCTTCAAATCCAAGCCTGATACTATATTAGCGTGTTTTTTAACTATGTTTACAATCATGACATCATGTACGATACACCATCTATACTATGTTCTAAATGTTCTGTAGCAGCGTGTCATGTTAAAAATTTTTTATATTGTGTTGACTCAAAGTTGCAGCCGGTATACACGTCGTACCTGTTGCCTGGCGCAGAGTAGCCTGGGACTTTGGGCTGGTTTCAACGCGATCTGTTGGCTTCTAAAAAAGGGGGAAAATATGAATTTAGCGCCTTCCAGGTTATATACCATATAGCAATAAGCCATAATGCAATGGATGTCAAAACCAATAATCAAGAAAAAACTCAACCAGAAGATAAGTTTATTTGCGATAACGAATTAATATCCAAGGATACCTCCCATCCCAATAATGCAAGCACTCCTAATAAAAGTTACAACTGAAATTTAGTGAAGGCTACCGCATTTGGAATACAGCTACGTCAATACCAGTCCAAACAGAAGGGGAAATATATATCTCATAGCAATCAAATCAACCCCGTGACCCGTTTTTGGTGGGGGGGATTGATTACCCTTCCTCCTGACCGTCTACAACCTGGAGATGTCGTCATATCCCAAGCGAAATCCCTTTACTTGGAAATGAGTAATCATCTACGTTTTGTGAGGCGAATGATGTCAAAAAAGTAACAACTTGGTGAAGCCAATTTCGACTTGTTTGGATAGGTGTTTAAGTACCCCTGTCCTAAAGAAGATCCCGATCCGACATACAAACTTTCAAAGAAATCAAAACGTAAAGAAAAGAGAAGGTACTTATCATAATTTAGTTAAATTACCCAAAACTCTAAGTAACCCAGTCCCAACGAGAGTCATACAACTGCAAAATTTTACCCTATATCTAATGTGCGTGCTATAAGGAATAAAGTTGCGTTATAACGAAAAACGCCAGAATTCTCGTGGAAAGCTCCTATATCTGAGCAGAACTTTGCGGTAATGGCGTGGTTTTGGGTCATTAGGTTTTTGACGAAAATGTGGATGGCCTCGCGTATCTTAAAACGTTCAATGAATTTGCTTTTCTTCAACTTGCCATTGATTTTAACAATCAGCATTAGAGGGAATATTTCCAGGGCACACTAACTAAAGCTAACAACTGAGCTGCAACAAGATTGATGAGTGCGCTCAGTTTGCAAATACATAAAGCAAAGCTGGAATTTAATCAACCACCTTATCGGTAAAAATATTAAATCAAACACCATATCCCAACTTAAAATGGACAATTCTGTCATTTCAGACGACAAATTGAAATCTGAGGCGTTTAATGATTTTTTTGTCAATATCGGGGTAAAACTTGAAGATAATTCTTTCAACACAATTTTTTTCGCTCGCGGAGACCCTAGCACTACTGCTGAACCCCATCTTCTTTTCAAATCTTCCGAAATTAATGAGGAGAAAATAGTAGTACTCAAAATCCACAGGACTTGATATTCCTGCCAAAACTTCAGAAATGTCCACGGTCATTGTTGGCCCGTCATTAACCTGGATATTTCATCTTTCGATCAAAAAAGGCCAATATGTTGATGAATAGAAAAAAGCCTTATAAATACCTATGATCTAGGTTAAAATAAGCCTCTGATAAGTTAAAATGCGAAAACTATCACCGTATATCAATGCTACCTATCATTAGTAAAATACTCGAGAGATGTGTCGTTAATCGAACTTGCAAATTTCTTGATGACAATTAACTCTTCTCAAAACATCAACATGGTTTTCTGACCAAACACTCAACTCTTATAACCACCCTGACTCAGATGTGCGATGCTCTAAAAAAGTGTAATAATTTTCACCGCTTTCATAAAAGCGCAATAATTTCACCGCTTTTACAAAAGCGTAATAAATTTTCACCGCTTCAACAAAAGCGTAATAATTTTCACCGCTTTCATGAAAGCGTAATAAACTTTCACCGCTTGCCGCTTCTACAAAAGCGCAATAATTTTCACCGCTTCTACAAAAGCGTAATAAATTTTCACCGCTCTCATGAAAACGTAATAATAACAGCTTTCAATTGCCTCAACAAAGAGTAATTCAACGTCAGATGCCGCTATAGCATGCATAACTTGAAAGCGTCATGCATAACTTAATTCATTGGCATTGCAAATTTTTCAAACACGTTAAAATGTTTCAAACCGCTGCAGAACTGAAGGTCGTAGACTAGTCAAACCGTGACTTGGGAAATCTTAACTGAACCAGAAACTCCCATTTGCTTTGAATATTAGTAAATGTTCGCTATATAGCCTCACTTAAGGCGGATTTCCACTTACAGCGAAATCGTTCGCTGGCGAAATATTTGCATATTTTCTTTTGAATTGAGAACACTCAAGTCGCACTAATTTATTTATGCTGTTTAAATTCAAAAGAAAATATGCTAATATTTCGCTAGGGAACGATTTTGCAGTAAGTGGAAATACGCCTTTAAAAGCGGCAAAGCAGGTAGTATAGCCATTCTATAAGCCGGTTTTCCATGCACTAGCGATATTTTTTGCGCGAATTGACATTTTACTTTTGTTTTAGAGCTCTCAACTGCAACCATCTTGAACAAATTGCTCAAATAACAAAGGAATAAAGTCGCTTCGCGCGAAAAATAGCGCTAGTGGAAAACCGGCTATACTGTTGTCTACAGCCGTATACAAAGGTTAAAATGCTGCGATAGAGCTATTAAATCTGGCAGTATACTTCCTGAGCTAGAGAATAGATATATTTTGGGTAGGAATTAATGCACAGAGATCCACTCGGACAGCACGACTTGTATTCCGCCGGCCTTTAACACGAGGTTCCCGTCGTAGAATATAAGGTTTTCCGCGCAACACGGGAAGGAAAGCCAAGCGTGCATCTCCAGTAAATCGGTATATAGGTAGCGTGGCGCGGGCGATAGAAAAACGATTTGATAAAAGCTTAGAATGCCTTTTAACTCCGAAAGGAAACAAACGTTATGTTTTAGGTTAATTAATGGGGTACACTTATTTGATATGCTTCGTATCCACATGAGATATTTTAGGCAACTTCTGTCACATTACAGGCTCTATACGGCTAATTTGAATTTCAAAGGTGTCAGGTTTTTTTTACTCATCCTGTATATGGGAATATGCAATACAAATGCACGTAAAAATCTCACTTCTTGTCAACAGGTTTTAATCGCAACAAGTTTGTCAACAAGTTGTAGCAATGCAGCTGTTTTGTCAATTAAGTTGTAGCAAGTTTGTTGGAACAATTCGCAACAGACTTCATGACTCGCAAACATGGCTTCGAAGTCATCAATCTTGACGAAAGTCTGCTGCAGATTTGTAGCAACTTGACAACAAGATACATTGCATGTGCACCAATGTATTTGTTTGCGTTGTGTTTACTTGGTCTTCAACCCTTGGCAAAAATTAAAACGTGTGTACATTTCATACAGTTTAGAACAGAGTGTTTCAGAATAACTGCAAACGCCAAACGTATATTGTAATTTCATCACCTTTGTGATTTAAGCAAAGTGCGTGAACACAATAGAAAGGAATTTCATACAGAAATTAATCAGTAGCATTAAATTTAACTTGACTTCGTGTTGTTATTTTTAAATGCCAGAAGCATAATAAGTTCCACATGCAGCCACAGGAATTGAAGTGCAAATCAGCAGTAGCTGCTATAGCAACTTAATTATTTGCTGCAGTTTTGCAGAGTCACTCTGTCTGAATTCCATGTGTACACAACTTAGTTATTCGGCTTATTCCAAAGTTTCAGAAACTACCATTACAGTTCATCAATCATCTCCATCCTGTTACATGCAAGCAATATTTATAACCATATACACGATATAACAGCATAAAAATATATGACCAAAATTAATATGCATTTGTTATGGCTTAAAGTATACAAAGAAATATGATAATGAAACTTTTTTTAGCCAATAGAAACTGTTTATATGAAGGTTGTGAATCGTGGCTTCGTTCAGTTAATGAAACTACTCGTTCGCTCTTGTTCTACGGTGCAGGTTAACTATTCTGTGTAATCGACCGATGCCAAACGACACAGCACGAATATTCCTTGAACTCGATCAAAACTAAATTAGTGCGCCTTCATTTTCTGTATTCGAAAATTATATTATATTTCAAAATTTAATAATATAATTACTATTTTCTTAAAATTCTGCTCTTAAAGATAGTCCTCGTTTTAAATTAACTTCACGACTGTTTTTGCACACGATG